ATGACCAGAGGGTTAGTGGGGACAGGAAGACTGGTTATAGAAGGAGTTCATGCTAGTCCAGGAGTGCCAGATACACACCACTAAATAGTCACTTGTCTGATGAGGCAGAGTTCACATGTCTTCAAATAAGGGATGGTGCACCTGGTAACTGATTCAAAATGACATGGCTCCAACAACTGGGAGAGCAGTGATTGCAGAGGTGGGTGAGGGTGGGGTCTGGACATGCTTCTGGTCACAGGAAGTTGTGGAGAACAAGGCAGAATTGTACCATTCTTGTTGCCAGCAACCAGTGTATCACTGTGCTGTCAGACAGCAGTATATGATGTTACAAAAGTCCAAGATCGCCATGTTGCATCAGGCCAGGTGGCAGTTCTACCATCTGTCTTCTCTTTCGTTGATTTGTTCACCTTTTTTTTTTTTTTTTAATCCTAATAAGTATTCAATCCACTTCTTTGTCCTTTCCTCTGAAAATCAGTGTTCCAGGATTGTCATCTCTGTTTAATTAATTTGGTCTCTTGTAATTTTTGTTGTAAAGATGTCTGGTGATACTATAGAGCAATCCCTGTACTGCTCACTGCAAAGTTCGCAATTCAAACCTACCAGTTACTCTTTGGGAGAAATATGAGGCTGTCTGTTCCTAGAAAGATTCCTAGACAGTCTTGGAAACCCTATGTAGGGTTGCTATGATACAGAATTGACTCAATAGCCATGGGTTTGGTGGATTGGGATCTTTGTTGCAGATGATCTATGTAGGTAGGCCTACTCTGCCATCTTGCCAGAAATCTCTGATGTTTGGTTTCCTGACTGCTGCTTCCATAAGCATAGATTGTGGAACCAAGTAAAAAGAAATTTTGACAACTTCAGTCTTTTCTTAATTTACTTTTTTATTGGTACAGTTATGAAGACTTTTGTTTCCCCTTATTAAATTGAATTGTGTCCTCATTGAAGACTGTATTCTATGACCTTCATCACTATATCCCCAGTGCCTTCCAATCTGAGGGGCTCATTTCTGACATTTTATCAGAAAATGTTTTGTTGCTACTCATAAGGCTTTCAAAAGTGGATGACTTATTCCTTATTTCTAGTCTATTCTTAGTCTGGAAGCTCCATTAAAACCTGTCTCTCAGGAGTGACACTGCTGGTACTTAAATCATTGGTAGCATAGTTTCTAGCATCATGTTGTTGTTGTTGTTGTCAGGTGCCATCGAGTCGGAACCGACT